ATTTATATGATGCAGTGAGTTCTTTTAGATATAAGATCGAACTAATGTCCAATCCTTCAATGAGCAATGATTTTATGATGTTGATAATTGCGTCTATTGATTACAAATAATAACTCCGGATGATTTCAATGAAGAAAGAACATGAAAGATAGCAAACTGTTTTTGGAATGTTTTTTTAGAGCGTATCGACTTTGAACATACAATATCATTGTTCACTCTGGAAATTGAAGGACATCCAGTTTTTTCTCCTCTAGGATTTTCTCACAAAGTCTAATTCAGTTCTATTTAACATACCATTTTGTTTTGGATGCCATTGTTTTGTACGCTACTCAAACTAAAAATATTAATATTAAATACTTATGAATAACATAACTAACATCACAATTCTCTATGAGTATACCTAGTTGTTGATCGTAATTGTAGTTGCAGTAATGATTGTTTCAATATCTTGAATGTTGGACGAGCTTGTACTTATAAATGCCAACAACCAACAATTATAGTCCATAATGCTTCATCACAATTCTCAGGTTTCGTTAAAATTTCTCCATTGAATTTACGACGACGAACTTCATTATCATCTTCAATCGATGCATAAGGTAGTTGCTCTTGTGAACAAGGTTCCCACATCAAAACACCCATTGAATACACATCTAATTTTTCCGAATATTTCGACAAACTTGCACTTTGAAGTATTTCAGGCGCAGCATATCTTAGAGGAACCACTACGAGAGTTGTTGATGCTGTGCTAACAACAACAGAATATAATGTGCTAGCACGAGTCAAACCAAAATCTGTCAGTTTTACTAAAATCTCTTGTGGTTCAAAATTATTGAATCGAAAGACGAGTACATTTCGACAAGCTAGATCACCATGTACTATACAATAATTAGCAAGATAGACAATTGCATCAATAATTTGTAAAAATATTTCTAATAAAACCGCTTGTGATGGTCGAAATTCATTTTCTTTTAAAAGTTCTTCAAGATCACCTTCACTAGCATATTCTTGTACAAGCATAAGAGAATTGGAATCATTTTCAACCATACTATATGTATGTATGATATGAGAATGACAACCAAGTTGAACATAAAATGACGCTTCCCGACTTGCTTTATCTCCTTTAATTTGGAGTAAAACAACTGAAGGTCCAGGTTTCGCCGCTATCCATTCAGCTTTATAAATAGTTTTACCAGGTGCTTGAAAAATTGGTCGTCTCTCTGCTTTTTTAATATCAACATTAAGAGAGGGTCCATGAAATCACCACCCAAAATAGTAGAGACAAGTTGCCGAAAAATTTTACTTTTTGAAATGAGTTTGCTAGTTTG